TATATATTTTGCTTAATATTTATATTTCTAAATTTGACAATTTATACTAATCAGAATTTTAAAGTATTTATTGAAAGATTTAAAAGTTATATTTTACTTGATTATTGACTTCAAATTTGATAGTCTATATTAATCAATGAATTTCTTGAAGTATTTACTAATATAACTTGTAATTTATTTTAAAACTTGATTAAAAAAACTGTAACTATAATAAAAATATATAAAGAAAACAATAAAAAAAAAGTTTTTATAAAGTATCAATACAATTAATTGTAATAAGATTTATTTATATTGTATATATATTAAAATTTTATAAAAAAATAAAATAATAATAATAAATAACTTTTATTAGATAAAATAGATTATATTGATAAATATTTTAATTTTAAAAAAAATAATTATAATTATTAATAAATTTTATATTTTATTATATAATAAACCAATTAAATTAAATAATCAATTGAAAATATAATAGTTTAAAAAACCAAAATATATAATTTTAAATTTTAAAAAATTAAGTTAAATAACTTTTAATTATAGTAATGAAAAATTAAAAATAAAATAAAATAATTAATAAAAAATTAAATTAATAATTTTATAAAAAAATTAAAAATCAATTATTTTAAAAAAAATAAATTGAATTAATTTTAATTTTAATTTTAATTAAAATTAATTTAAACTAAATTATTGTAATTTTTAATTATAAAATTAAAAACTATTTTATATATTGTTAGATTATATTAAATTATTTTTATATTATTTTGTTATTATTAATTTAACTTTAAAAGTATTAAATTAAGATTAATACATCAAAGTATTATTAGTATTGTTACTATATTTTTTTTTAATTATATTTTTAATTAAAAAAATCCAATTAAAGAACTAAAGATAAGTACTTATATTTGATAAATAAAACATTAAAAAAAAAGTCTTTTAAATCTATATTATTCTATCTTTTTTAAAGTTATTTAAATATATATTAAGAAACTTATACTAACTTATTATTTATAAATTAATTTAGTTATTAATATTTATTGCAATTATTTTTTTGAAAATAAGTAACTATTAAAATAATTTTAAATAAAATTTTTTTGATAACTTGTAAAAAAATATATCAAATATTATAAAAAACAATTATCAAACTATTTAATAAAAAACAAATACCATATAACAGGTTATAATATTAGTTTATACAAGTTGAAATTTGTAAATCCTTGACATAATTGATAATTATTTGACACAATTAATTGAGTTACTATTAAAACATATAAATAATTAAGAATTTTGAGAATTGAGTCAACAGCAAATAATTTATATCACGTGTATAGTTTAATTGTTTTTATTTGAAATTAAACTTAATATTTTATGATATAAATCTGAGATCATTAACTATTATATTATTAATTCATAAGTCTTTTTATTAATTTTATCTTATTTAAAAAAATAATTGAAAATTATAATTGAAAACAAATCAAGATATAATAAATTATATTATAAAACTTTTTTAAATTATTTATTTATTTGTTATTTAAAAACTATTTCATAATAAAAATGATATATTTTTCAAATACTTCATTTTAAAAATTAATCGAATTGTTTTTTATACAAGATTTTTTTTTATATAAGTTACCGAAACATGTTTAAGTTTAGATGTACCAATACTATATGTATAATCATTAAATTATTTTGTTTTTGGACGTATATATTTGAAACGCAATTTATTTTTTATGATTGATGACTATTTATAGTTAAAAGGAGTTGTGGTTTCATGACAAGTGCTTGTACTAATTAAACAAGATTTCGTCAGAAATATGTTATTCTTAGCAAAACCGATTTACAAGTGCCCGCTCCAGCATACAATTTATCATACGTTTATTTTAATATAAACAATGTCCTAAACCTAAACTCTAATTCTTGGCACGTCAATCAAATGATGTCGACCGGGAAAGATATCAATTGAAAATACCGGTATAATTTACCAAGGCTTGCCTTTAATATACGGGTTTAGAAAGTAGGGAATGGTGAAATACAAGAATCCAAATGTCCAAAACCAGCCCAAGCAGCTTAAAATCATGTTATGTGGAATTAATTTACTCTGGCCAAGTAATTTTTCAAGAATTACACCGGCTGCTTGTAACATGAAGAATAGGAATTGCTCTCCGGGAGTCCAAAAAGGATATAACGCAGTCCAAATAACGTACTCGTGCATTATTCCACTGAGAACAAAAACACCTAGTATGGGAACGATAAGTTCGAGTGTGCTTAAATTTCTGACCTAACGATGGACCAAATTTGTTCCGCATTAAACTTCGCAACGGTCTATACGCCAAGGAAACCCAGATTTCTCTAAATATTTGATGCCAACGTTTTGACCAGAAATCTGTGAGTGATGTGGATTTCCATGGTTCATTGAACAGCAGGTGCCACTCATCCTTGTTGTATTCACCACCACATAAACAAAGGGTGGAAAAAAAGATTAAAAATCTATTTCCTACTTCCATATTAACCTGCATGTAAAATCCGCAGACGAGTCCAAACAACGAGAATTGGTATCTTGGCAGAAGGAAGATTAATTCAACAGTAAAGTACTGTAGAAGAAGAGTGAGCCCTCCTTGGATCAATAAAAAAACAGCAGTAGATGGCAAAATGGAAAATGATGATTTCGAGCCGATTTTACTGTTAGAAGCATGCAACTGATGATTCTGAAGATCTCTGAAAGGTTTTAACGCCTCTGATTTTATTTGATAGAGAGACATGTGTATTTCTTTGTTTTTAATTAACGAGTCAACGAAAAAGATATCAAAATAACGAAAGCATGAAGTCATAGCAACTGCGGAAAATAATATATCCAAAATAAAATCATCACAGCTTAATTTAACTGGTGCTAATAGTAGTAAGATAATCCAGGGAATTGCGAGAATCCGTTTTCTTGAGGACGAAATGCAAGATGGTGAGGTTTTCAATAAAAGAGAGAGGGCAAGAAATGAAATAATGAAAATAGAAAATTCCACAATAAAAGGAACGATTATTCTGGTTGGCATTTTTTTTTTTAGAAAAAACCATCCTAACCAAAAATTTATATACGTATTGTACGTACTGAAGAATATGTTGTGTACTGTAATTCACTTATTTCACTTGGTCCAATACGTCATATGATATCTTTACTCTCAAAAATATATAAATACCCGGCACTAATCATAATTTTGTGTCCTTGAAAATTCACACTGAAACTTTGAAAAAAAAAAAATGCCTGCTGCACCACCACCACCTCCCCCACCACCTCCCGCTGCCGCAGTGCAATTACCACCACCTTCTAATTCTCGTAATGCATTACTTTCCGACATTCAAAAGGGAAGAAAGTTGAAAAAAACAGTTACAAATGATAGATCGGCCCCGGTTATAGACGGTGAGTAAAGCCCAAATCTGGTGGAAATTTTTCAGACCGGTATACTTGATTTTATATGGTTAAACTTTGACTTCAATTTTAAAAGTGAACAATATTGTTGTTTGTTCCATTAACGAATAAAATAGCCAAGTCTTCTGCAAGTGGATCAAGTGGGGATTCGCGAGGTCGTCCTACAGGAAATACTGGTGTCGCGAATGTTTCTCTTGGTATTGGTGGCCTTTTCGCTGGCGGTGTTCCAAAATTAAAGAGTCGTAACGCTGTCGATTCCAATAGTAAAGACAATGGTAAGCCTGTGCGCATAGAATTTTATCGAGTTCTTAAAAAATATCCAATTTTAGGAGATCTAATTGCTCTTATGTTTTATGTGTTCAGGTTTGGCGGTACCGCCACCCTTTCCTGGTGGACGCCCAAGAGCATCAAGTGCCGGTAATCGTACGTCGCCAGTTGTTCCATCCCCTCCGGTTCCTGGCGTCCCATCTTTACCATCAAGGAACACACCGTCTAAGAATTTAAGTAAAGTTGTTGCAGTTAATTGCTCGATCAATACACCAAATAGTGATACTCCCGCGCCACCGTTACCGTCTCGCACACCTAAGGCATCACCATTACCACTTACTCCAGCTCGTACGACGACAACATCAACAAATGCACCTTCTCCACCACCATTACCTTCTCGAAATGTTAAAGCGCCACCACCACCTCCTCCCCCATCATCGATCAAAAAGCCACCTCCTCCACCACCTAATAAATCGTTAACGGCTTCTACAAGTACAAAATCGGAATTATCATCCCCGATTCCTTCACCACAGCGTGCTCGTTCACCAACGATACCGGACAAAGAGAGACCTTCGTCCGCACCAAATGGAGCAAATGCACGCAGGGCTTTCAGTCCGCCAAAATTTTCTACAAAGTGTACGTCATGTTGGATCATTTACTTTTCATCGATTTAACAATAACCTTATGATTTTTTTATTATATGATAGCGGTGTCACAGGAACCACCGAGAATAGAAGGTCGTTGGGAGTTTCACCCTTCATCTCAGTTTCCACCTCCCGGTGATTTCAAGCCTTCTAAAAAAATATATCCATCGGGTGCATCCTCGGGAAGCTGTATGTATATCTTCTCCTAACTTTTGTGATTTCTATTGTCACGCCAAATGAAAAATTGATTTTGTGGTAAATTCGATTCATCTAGCGATTCCACTTGATTTGTCAGCGTTGACAGCACAAGGCACGCCGCAACGTGCACCACCACCACCACCTCCCATTGGAGGTATAAGGTTAGGAAGGAAGTGATCCAAGAAAGAGTGAGGGAAAAAAAAAATATTTTTTATAAGATCGGGATGTGATGGTGTATAATTGCTTTAAAAAAAAATGGATTTGATCTTGTGAAAGCAACTTCCACCGGAACACTAACACCAAGATTTCGAGGTGTGGTTTTTGCGATTCTGGATTACTTATTACAAATGAATTGTACATTATTTTATTTATTAATAACTTATATCTGGGTCGTTAGTAATTGTTCAGATGCTCATCAATTTTCTATACTTAGAAATTTATAAACAAAGTATATACATTTTTTGATATCTTGACTGATTCAACAAAAATAACCAGATCTAATAGATTTATCATTTATACAAATATTTCGAGTGTTGTTATTTCATGAAATTTTATATACCATTAGTGTAGTTATCGACAAAATACGCTTACATTCTACTTCGACAATAAAATTTATCACGTGTTATCAATATGCAACCTTGCGGTTATAATAATAATAATATATATATAAAGTCTTTTCTTATTAATCGATCAAAGATCGGAACGTTTTGCTGCACCATTTGTATCCGGTGTGATTTCCTTTAGTGTCTTTAGCATAATTTCGCGTGCCTTTTTTGCCAAATCGTTGATCTGATCCTTATCATCAACATCAATTCCCGTGGTCTCGATTGACGGTAAGACTATGTAATGCATAATTCATGGTGAACGATAACGTTTGGTATATTTTGTAAGCATGCGAATTATTATGTTACCTTTAATATGAATTTGTCCGCCTCGGAAGATTCTTTGTCTGGAGCTGTAGATATCACTGTAATTTGCTACAACAATCGGAATTATCGGAATCCCAGCCTGTACGGCCATATGGAACGCGCCTTTCTTAAATGGCAATAGGTCAGCTTCTTCTAGGCGAGCACGTGTTCCCTCGGGAAATACGAATGCGCTTATCTATTTAAATAAATTAAAATGAATAACACCATTGAAATGGATGTATGTATCAGGCAATCGAGTATGCTTCACTTGATTCTACCTTAAGCCTTTTGATATCCTGTGCTGCTTTAGATAATGCGCTGACAGCACCGTTGTGATTTTTTCGATCGAGGAATACTGCTTGACCGAGAATCACTATTTCCAGTCCGGTAATTGAGATAATGATTAATTAATACGCAATCCTTAAATCCCGGAAAAATATGATTACTATTAACCAGCTCCTCTGTATGTCATTAGCACAACCCGGAAGGAAGACAATCACCTTTTCAACCCAACAAATTTCAGCAACCGTTATATTTCATCGGAGTTCAAATTTTTTAACTTAATTAGAATAGGACATGGAACTGTTATTGGAAAAATGCAGTAAATAGGACTTTACTTACTGAACATGCCCATTATCGGTACGAATTTTAACGATGATTTACTAACCACAACACAATTTTTCGGAAATATTCTTCCAAGAACAAATAAGTCTCCTGCAGATTGATGATTACATATGTAAATCGCTGGACGCTCAGTATTCATGTGTTCTTCGCCGTCGACCCTGTAAGATATCCCAACGGCCCCGCCTGCAATATACGCATACCCACGTGCTGTCACCCAATTAATAAGACCACGTTTCCCAATAAGTGCAAAGATTATGGCAACGATAGTTCCAAATGCCGAGAAGAACAAAATAAAGAACAAGCAAATGTTTGCCTTGACTATGAATTGTATTTGTGTACTAAGTCGACTCCCTATTACAAGAGCAGGTATGGTAACAATTGCTATGAGGGGAAGCTGTGTAAGAAGCGAATCTAGTGTCATCGCTATACTGTCCAAAACTATAAGGAAATCGCTAAACGATTTTATTAAAAAATTTTTAAAAAAAAAATGGTAAAATGGAATAAAAAAAAAATAACACCGCAGATCTTTATATTGACAGTCGGATTTCCTGTCTGAAAAATATAGTTTATACTAGATAATGTAACTGTCAAAATGGTCGAGTTGTTTACGACGAGTCTTTATATGCTAAAAAATAAGAAGGAAGCGTCTACTAATTGGTCAGAAGGCCACGCGAATCGTGTCTCGTGAACTAGAAATTCGTTTGACTTAAAATTACGTAATACGTCAGATGACACATATTTATTAACAAATAGACTTATCGGGTTAAGACGTTTGTTGTTTAAAAAATGTTGGGGTTGGAGAGAGATTGCGATGACAACATGAGTGAAAATACTATATAAAAATATTCAATCTTTGGTTTTTTCGAAGCCTTAAAAAAGCTTTGTAAAAAAAATCAAAAAGGTCTAGTAAATAAAAATATGTTATTTATTGATGTAATAATTTTCTTATATATTTGGAAATAAAATATATTCAATATGTTCAATTATATACGTAATAATTATGCATATGATACATACATTCATTCGATTTGATTTTAAATTTTTATTACGTATATCTTTTTTTTTTTTTTAATAATTTTTACATAAAATATCTATATCATTATAATCACTATATTGTATATTGTAAATAATAATAATAAAATTAGTATTTTATTGCTAATAGAATTATTTTAATTTTAAATTGTAACAAGCAAGCTCGAGATTTTTTATCGAAATCAAAACCTGCGGATTTAAAAAAAGCTGAAGAGGTTTTGGAATATGGTAAAATCTAATCATAATTTATATGTAACTATATAATAATAATTAAATTTATTTATTTTAAAACAAATATTTTATTAAATCTTCATTACTATAATTACATTAATAATCTTTACAAAAAGTAAATTAGCTATAGCTTGTTAAAAATACAAATGACACATAGAATTTTAAAAACTCTTGTAAAAAAAACAACAACAATTAATTATTATTTTTATTATTATTTATATATAGTATATGTGCTTACTTGATAATAATTAATAAAAGAAGAGATATAATTTGGGTTTTAAATTATAACTTTAATTTATATAATTATATAATTAAAAAAAATAAAATAAAAAATAGTAATTTTGTTTATATTAATAACTATTATATAATAATCTTTTTAAAAAAAAAGAATTATTTATTTAAAAGTTAAATAAAATAATTTAATTATATTTTTAAGTAAGGTATAGTTATGATATTAAGTATTCAAGTAAAACTTTTTATATATAGTAATTATATTTTTAATTAATAATTTAAATTATATATATTATTAAAATTTATAAATTCTTGATATAATTAATATAATTATTTGATTTTTTTATTTTTTTTGGCTTACTAGTATAAATCTTTATTTAACTTTTAAAAAATTTTATAAGAAATATTATATAAATATATATACTTATAAAACTAATTAATAAATAATTAAATTAAAAGTGAAATTATTAGATATAGTATAAGATTAGTTTCAATAATTAGACTTATTGTTATCTTGGATTTAAAATTTCAATTCATATTATTCTTTTTTTTTTTTTTAAATTGCTAAAGTGAGACAACACTCTGGGTCAGTTTATTCGTAAATAGGTCATTACATACAAAGTATATATAACGTTAATCTATATTAAACCTATATATAACCTAGAATCTATCCATGGGTATAAGCCGTCTGGATATAGTCTGCCACCCAAACATTTTCTAATATCTTCCAGCCACAAGATGTAAACCTTTCAGTAAGGATCTTTAATACTAAACGGATTACCCATCGGAGTACTATGTCTCTGTCTTTTCCAGTTTTTCTTTATGGGGTGTTAAGTCAAGAGGATCACTATTTGGAAAGCAGATGGAACCTATGGTCAAGATTTTTCAATACCTTTAAACCCGGGTTGACGATCCAATCCCTTTTAGATAATGCCAGGCTTCAAGCATAAGCTGCTTATTTAAGAGGGCACAACTCCTCCAAAATCAGGCTAGGTCTTAGGGGGATTTTCCATTCTGGCAAACGTTACCAACTGAGTACCTTCACTATAGGTAAGAATGGTGGGTATTGCTTGGCAAGTCGTAACTCATGCTGAAGGAGGGATCATGTTATAGTCTTACTGTCCAATTTTTCTGTTTGTGACCCTCCGTAATGTATTTCTTTTATAGTCTCATAGATTATAGGAGAAGGGAAACGGCCTATTGTGGAACTGGGGATCACATCAAACTTGACAACAATCATTATAACTTTCACCAGACGATCGTTGCGCCTCATCACCTTTTCTGGAAATTACAATCTCAAAGCCCACTGAATTAGCATGTGAAATGGCTTTTTACATAAGAAATAGCGTTTAACAAGTTATGGTGCTAGATACCATATTAATTCTATTCAATCACCCTCACATGTGATTAAACTGGTATCTTGTGATTTGACTTGTAAAGTGTTAACCATTACACTACAGACCCACAAGTCCAATTCATATTATTTTTCCAAGTATATAAAAGAATATATAGTATAGGAGAATCATTAATTTGTTAAGACCTACCTAACAAGACCCCTATATTATCTAATATAAGGAACTTTAATAAGTGATTCTTTAATCTTTTAGCATATATAAAAAATTTTAAAAAATTTTTAGAGAAGAAAAAGTATAATTAGTATAATATATGTAATCTATATATTATAAAAAAATCTTTTTAAATCTATAGATCTTTTTAAATTTGTATTTGTATATAAAAACTACTTAAAACCTGTTTATAAGTTATTGTATTTATTATATATATTGTATATATAATTACTTATTTTTTTTATACTTAATTATTAATTTTAATTATTTTGAAAAATTTTTAATTGAAATTGACTATTTGCTTCTTGATTTAAGTAAAATATTATTATTGTTATTTATTATAATTAAATAAAATTCAGTTATATAAATATCAAAATTAATTAACAATTTTTGATATTGCACTTAAGTAAGAACAAAAAAAAAAAGAATAAAAAATATTTTAATATATTATTTAAACTTTCTATTTAAATAATATATTGTCATATGCCAATCCAACCTCAAAGATCAGCATAGGACGAAGAACTGATAGCAGGGAGACACTTTATTTA